CGTCCCGGTGGCGTCAGCGGCTCCTCCGGCGTTCCCCATCCACCCCGGGCTCGGCGGGGCTGGCCGTGCTGGGAAAGGGGCTACGAGGGGAAGGGACGCATCTATACATTGCGCGCCTGTAGGCTCTGCTTTCTTGTTAGGCAGCAAGAGTAATTAACCAGTGGCCTCTGGAGCTTTGAATTTAGGGAAGACCCCTGGAGAAGAAGAGTGCTGGTTTGTTGAGGCGGGATGCGCCCTTGCAGGGTGTGGGTCCTTTTTGGGGAGAAAATAGGCTCTTTGCTAACGAGCTGCAGCCACGATTTATCTCAGGCTTGGCTTTTAGGTCCCTGAGATTAGGGCTGTGGGTGCTGGCGAGGGGATGAGCTGGCCGGGCAAGTATTTTGGTGTTTGAATGTGCCCCTCGCCTGGGGGAGAGGATGCAGGCAGGAGGCGAGGATGCTGCGCAGGGGGGTTTGTCTCTGCATCCTCTCTCGCCTAGAAAGGAAACCCCGAAATACGGCGTGGTGCGAGGGAAGGGATGCACAAAACCGGCTCGCCATCCTAAAAGCCATGCGGATCGCTTCCGAGCATCCTAACTTCTCGTGACGGCCTGAAAACAGAGCAAAGCCCCACCAACTTGCCTGATTTTTATTTTTTTTTTTTTTCTGAGAATAACTCGGATCTTAACGCGCCAGGCCAAGGTGTTGGATACAGTGGGGTTCTTTAAAATCCAGGTAAATAATAAAACTACTTTTTTTTTTTTAAAGATAAGTTGCCTGCCTAAGCACCTGTTTAGCGTTTGCTAACTGTGTGTTCAACTATTGGGGAAAAACTCCTGATATTTGGGCCAACCTTTGGTGGGCTGGTCCCTCCCAGCCTGGTCCCCTTGGCTGGCCCATGACGGTGGCTCCGTTGCATCTCTTCTCGTTGCAGCCGCCAGTGATATTAGGAGGAGTTTTCAGGCCAGCTCATTTGATCTGGTTTCCCGGGATAGGGTTTTGCTTCCCCACCCATCCCATTTTGTGCCCCGGCTTGCCAGTTGGGCGCTGGGAGGGGGTAAGCCATCCCGCTCCCATCGGATGCAGCCGTACCAGTAAATAGCTGCTCCCGTACGGATAACACCAGCGCTTCCCTCTTCCCGTGGCTTTTTAGAGCAGTTCCCGTGGTTGCCCAGAGCACCCATTTTGGGTAATTTCAGTGCTTTTCTAGAAGATGCTTGCTCTTGCCTGCCCGGCTGAGGTGGGGGTGGGAAGAAGCCGAAATGTGATTTCCTCTCTCCATTCATTTTGTGGTTTGAAAGACCGTTTCCAAATCTGCCCAGCGTCTTTTATGTCTGTTATTTGCTGGCGTGGTTTGTTGGGGAACAAAAAAAATATAAAAATATCCCTGGGGGATTTACGGCAGAGGTGGGTGACTGTGTCGGGGCTGGGG